ACCCTCCCCCGCCCTCCCCCGCCCTCCCCTGTCCTCTGGAGACAAAGTTGCCAGGTCTCCTGGGCTGCCATGCAGTGGTGATGCTCTCTCCTGCCTGCTCCGTGTTGCAGTAAGCATGGGTGTGCCCAGCGAAGCCTAAGTGGACAGGCCTAGGCACCTTTTCACCTTGGGGCCTCCTGTGTGTCCTGACGGCCGTGCCTGGGTTTAGCCAGCGTGTGTTGAAGCAGGTTGAGCTGGGCACAGGGTCCCATGGCAACGGGGAAGCCGGACATTAGTTAGCACGTGACTAGCCTGCCTGTTCTGTCACCTGAGGCTCCTCCTGGGCTGGAGCTTCCCCTGACCTTAGTGCTGAGGGTCACCGGCAGCCTCTGTTTTTCACAGCCCAGAACATTCTCAGCTCCTTGCTCTTCTTTCTAGGAAGGGCTCATTTCAGACCTTTGGGAAGGAGGCGTGTGTCACAGGTCACAGGGTAAGGAGGCCCAGCCTGAGGGTGGAAGAGGGGAGACTGAGGGTCTCAGGCTGGGCCGGGCATGGAAGTGTGTGGTCATCTCCGAGTCCCCTAAATCGCTGTGTAGTGCCAACTCCTCCCTGCCAGTCCCTTAGAGTCTAGGAGTCCCAGGATGTCCCCAGGACCTCCCAACGACCTGGCCTCAGCATCAGATTCCTCATCTGCCCCTAGAGGGAGCGGGGTCCCCAGCATGTGGTGAGCACCAGGCAGAAAGCCATATAGGTGGACCAGGGAGCAGTGACTTCTGCCTCTGGAGTTGGTCAAATCTGCCAGAGACTCCTTCACAGTGAGGTGGCGGTGAGTGGCAGAGAAGCCCCTCCCACCTATGCTGGGTGGCTGTGACCTCACCACCGGCCACGTAGCCTCGTTCTGAGCTGTGGCAGAGGTGGGTAGGCTTGCTTCCCTCCGGGCACTCTCCTAGGCTGCTGTCACCAATGTCCATGCCTGTCTCTCTGCCCCTTGCTCAGGTGTACCCAGCTTAGCCCTGTCTCTCGCTCAGGTATACCCCGGCCTCCACACTATCCTCCAGGAGGGCACATGCTGTCAGTGCTACACCAGGCTAGGGGGCTGCCTGCCTGTGCCTCAGGCCGCTGCAGTGCTGCCCTACTGGGTCCCTCTGTCCCTGAGACCTCGAAAGCAGGTAGGCGGGCCAGGGTGGATGTCAGGGGTCCAGCTCCCTCAGAGTCACAAGTATTCTGTAAATGAAACTTCTGGAACACAGTTTGGGTTTTCTGTCTGTCTGTCTGTCTGTCTACCTACCTATCAATCAATGGATCACGGTGCTGGGGATTGAACTCAGAGCCTGGAACATTAGACGACTGATCTACCCCTGAACTGCAGCCCCAGCCCCCTTTCCCCTTTTCTTTTTTTTGTGTATGTTGTGTGCACGTGTGTTGTGTGTGTTGCATGTGTGTGCATGCATGTGCACGTGTGGGTCCACGCATGCACATACAGAGGCCGGGACATTTGGTACCTCCCTCTGTTGCTCCGCCTCATCCCCTTGAGACAGGGTTTCTCCCTGAAGTGGAGGTTCACTGTTTTTGCTAGGCTGACTGGCCAGTGAGCGCCCAGGATCCACTGCCCCACCCTCGAACTGGGGTGGAGGCCAGCAAGGGCCATATCCAACTTGTACATGGGTGCTGGGGCTTTGGACTTTGGTCCTCAGGCCTGCATGGCAAGCGCCACTGAGCCGTCTTCCCCAGACCTTCTTTTATTTTTAAAACATTTATTTATTATTTTATTTTATGTATATGAGTGTATCGCCTGCATGTAAGTACACCCATGTTGTGCAACGCCCACAGAGTCAGAAGAGGGTGTTGGATTCCCCTGCGACTGGAGTTATGCTAGGAATTGAACCTGGGTCCTCTGCAAGAGCAGCGAGTGCTCTTAACTGCCGAGCTACCTCTCCAGCCCCTATTTGTTTATTTTTTAATGTGTGCGTGGGCATGTGCATGTGTGTGTGCGTGTGCGTGCCACTGTGCACTTGTGGAAGTCAGAGGACAACTTTCGGGAGTCAGTTTTCCCACCCTGTGGGTCCTGGGACTGGAAAACAGACTGTCAGGCTTGGTGGCAGCACCTTTACCCTCTGAGCCATCTCTCTGGCCTGCATCATTCTTTTGAGATTCTCTGACCTGGTGTGTGTCAAGTCTGGAATGTTCTCCTGGCCCCCTGCGCTTGCTTCTCCTGTGGGCAGGGTGTTCACGGAGAGCAGTTCAGTGAGCGGTGGTGGCTGTGACACCTGTTGGTCTAGCCTCATGATTTCACCCTGGCACGACAGGAGGAGCCCAGAAGAGCCTCCTGGACTGTAGAGGAGAGGTCAGAAGAAGGGGTCACCTCTCCTCCCTTGCCACAGGCATCTGGGCAGCTCAGTCTCCACTGACTATGTGCCAAGAATCTTCTTGGGTGTACACCACACCCACCCTTGGGTGGCAAGCATGAGGGCCAGGGTTAGAGCTGGGCGTGGTGGTGCACATCTTTAATCTTAGCATGAGAGATGGAGATAGGGAAAACTGGGGGCCGGCCCAGCAGAACCAGCGAGCTCCAGGTCCAGGGAGAGACTGTCTGAAAAAAGGTGGGGCTGGCGAGATGGCTGGGAAGTGGAGAGCACTTTCCATCAGTCAGGACTGGAGTTTGGAGCCCAGCACCCACATAATAAGCCACTAGAGGGCAGACGTAGGAGGATCACTGTGGCGTGAGCGTCAGCCTAGCTGAGAAGGGAACTCCAGGTTCAGGAAGAGACCCTGCCCCAGAGGAACAGGCAGTGAGTGCTGGAAGGGGGCACCTGCTCCCTCTTCTGGCTCCTGTGTGCACATGAGTACATGTACCACACATGCGTGTGCACATACAATCACACACAGATAAATAAAATAGATAAATCTTAAAAAAAAAAAAAGTGGAGCCAGGTACGATGGTACACGCCTTTAATCCCAGCACTTGGGAGGCACAGGCAGGTGGATCTCTGTGAGTTCAAGTCCAGCCTAGTCTATATAGCGAGTTCCAGGACAGCTGGGGCTACAGGGAGACCCTGTCTCAAAAAAAAAAAAAAAAAAAAGGTAAAGAGATTGGAGAGAGCAAGCGTACACAAACACCTGTACACACACGTGCACACAAAGAAACATTCTCATAGATGCTCCTCCTAGAAGGGCTCTGCTGGGTCACAGGCCGTGCCAGCTGAGAATCCATAATCTTGTTAGGATGCAGAGCCTCGTCATAGGCAGCACACTGAGGTGGGGCCGCCTCTAGACCCACAGCTCTTTCTTTACCTTTTGGTTCTGGGGATATAAGCCAGGGCCTCCCATGTGCTGAGCGCTTGGTGGCTGAGCCATGGCCGACAGCTGGTTCTGCCCTGGCTGCGAGCTCCGCCTTCTCATCGCTCGGATGTCCCTGTACGTGATGGAGGCTGGTGGACCCTGAGGTCCTGAGTTGTCTACCTCTGGGGTGTCACAGGGGAGACCACGCTCCTCAGTGAGAGGCTGGGTGAGCCTAGGGGAGGAGAGGAAGGAGGGTAAGCTGGGCTTACTTCAGGCCCAGCCCCTCTCCCTTTAACAAAATGTGTATCTTTACGTCTCCATCAATGGAACACGAATAGCAAGAACTGTTAATAGATCTCTTAGAACTCAAGCTAAAAGGATTTCTTTTCTGAGACAGTGTCCCTAATCCAAGTTGGCCTTGAACTGTGTAGCTGGAATGGCCTTGAACGTATTTATTTATTTTTCTTTAATGTGTATGAGTGTTCTGTGTGCATGTATGTAAATGCACCCGTGTTGTGAAGTGCCTACAGGGGACAGCGTCAGATCCCCTGGAACTGGAGTTAGAGACAGATGTTAGCCACCATGTGAGTGCTGGGATTCAAACCCGGGTCTTCTGCAAGAGCAGCCAGTGCTTTTAACTGTGGAGCCATTTCTCTAGCCTGACCTTCAACTTAAAAAAAATTTATTTTATGAGTGTTTTGCCTACATGCTAGTACACTTCTACATACGATGCCCGTGAAGGCTGGAGGGGGACGTCAGAGCCCCTGAGACTGAGTTATGGATGATCGTTTACCTCCATGTGGGTGCTGGGAACTGAACTTGGGTCCCCTGCAAGAGCAGCCAGTGCTCTTTTTTTAAAAAAATATTTTATTTATTATTTTTATTTTATGTGTGTGAGTGTATTGCCTGCATGTGTGTGAGTGCACCCGTGTCGTGCAATGCCACAGAGGTCAGAAGAGGGCTTCGGATTCCTCTGGAACTGGAGTTAAGGACGGTTTGTAGCCGCCATGTGAGTGCTGGGACTCAAACCTGGGTCCTCTGCAAGAGAAGCCAGTGCTCTTAACCACTGCACCGTCTCTCCAGCCAGCCAGTCTCTCAAGTACTCAGTCATCTCTGCAGCCTGACCTTGAACTTTCGACCTTCCTGCCTCCACCTCCCGAGTGCTAGGGTTACAGCCTGCAATACCTTGCTGCTTTTAAATTTCTTAAAAGCATTTGTTTATTTATATTTCGTTATCTATATATATTTATTATGTGTGTGTGTGCGTGTGTGTATGTGTATGTATGTGTGTGTGTGCGTGCATGTGTGTATGTGTGTGTGTGCGCGTGCGTGCGTGCACGTGTGTGCGTGTGTGCGCGTGCATGTGTGTATGTATGTGTGTGTGTGCGTGCGTGCATGTGCGTGCGTGTGTGTGTGCGTGTATGTATGTGTGTGTATGTGTGTGTGTGCGTGCATGTGTATGTGTGTGTGTGTGCGCGTGCGCGCGTGTGTGTATGTGTATGTATGTGTGTGTATGTGTGTGTGTGCGTGCATGTGTGTGTGTGTGTGTGTATGTGTGTGTGTGCGTGTACCAAGGCTCCTGTGGAAGTCAGAGGACAACTTACAGAAATCACTTCTCTCCTTCTACCATGTGAATCCCAGGACTCGAACTCAGGTCTTTGGGCTTGGCGGCATGTATCCTTACCCACTGAGCCATCTTGCCGGCCCCTTTGCCTAGTTTAATGCACCACTGGAGATGGAACCCAGGGCCTTGTGCATGCTAGGCAGGCATCTTACCAGCTGAGCCACATCCCTAGACTCCTCTCCCTCTTGAACTTTCCTTCCCTTCCCTTCCACTGATAGGTCTCAAGGATGATGCGGTATTACGTTCCCAGAACCATCAGGTCTTGTAGCTGCCCCTGCCACAGCTTTGGGGGCCGCCTTCCGATGCCCAGGGATCAGGCCGTGATGCCCTACTGGGTGCCTCGGGGGCTGAGGTCACAGAAGAAGGTAAGGAGGCTCATGAGACAGGGCTGAGTGAGGGGCTCAAGGGGAGGAGCCCAAGGGGACCACCTCCTTTCCCACATCCCTGATAGTCGTGGCGCGGGCGGCTGAGAGCAGAAGGCCGGGACTCCTGGAGGATGCTGAGAAGCTCAGACCTTGCTCTCTGAGGACAGGATCATCTGGCACGCAGGCCACTGCGTCTTTTCCTCCCCTCACCCCTTCTCCTCTCTGTCTCCTCCTTCCTCTTCCTACATGGCCGGTGCCCAACCCTGTTCATACCTACCCAGACTCCTGCAGAGGTGGCTGGGGCAGTGCTGCCTTGGAGGGACCATGGTTCATGTTTCCTGACCTTGCTCTGACTCGGTCTGTACCCTGTAGTTCCAGGCCAGGCTGCTTGGATCGACCATGTCCTGCCATCCTCCAGCCTAGAGGGCCTTCCAAGCATTTGCAGTAGAGGTCTTCTTTCTTCCCCATCTTGTGGGGACAGTAGCAAGCTGTCTGTCCCCAGCAGGAAGACCTTGGGCCTGAGGAAGGAAACTGCTTGTGCTGGGAGCACAGGGCCCTGCCCTGAGTTCAAAAGTCCTGATCACCTCTCTCCCCCACTGTGGGTCACTAGACGACACACTGGCCCATTTTCTCATCTTTCAGGCGGAGAAGACGCAGGAGAATGTTAAAGACACGAACGGTAACTCCACATGCACGTGCGCCTCTCACCTCGTCCTGCCCTGGGAAGTTGGGGGTGGGGCAGCTTCTCTTGACCACAATCAGCAAGCAAAACATACATCTGTGGGTGTGGAGAGATGGCTCAGTGGTTGGGCGCACTGGCTGCTCTTGCAGAGGATCCAGGTTTGGTTCCCAGCACCCACATGGTGGGCTCAAAACCATCATTAACTCCAGCTCCATGGGAATCTGATGTCCTTTTCTGGCCTCCAAGGGTGTTGCTTCAGTGTGGTGCACTTACAAACATGCAGGCAACACATTCATACATATAAAATGAAAATAGCCTTTAATTCCAGCACTCAGGAGTCAGAGGCAGGCGGATCTTTGTGAGTTAGAGGACAGCATGGTCTATATTGCAAGTTCCCGGTCAGCTGTGCTACATAGTGAGACCTCGCCTTAAACCCCAACCCCCAAATTATTTTTAAAAGGACACAGCTGTGTCCCACCCTTTCCAGGCTTCACCAGCCTCTCTGTCTTTTCATAGTGACCCAGGCAGGTCCCCAGGTAGAGTACTGGTCGCTCAGCGGTGACGAGCTGGGGTATTGTGTAAGCTGTAAACCTCGGTGACCCATGGCACGGTGTGGGTGCACACGTTTGCTTCTGACAGTGTATGACAGGGTACTTCCTCAATGTATCACATTATATCCTCACACATATGCATGCTCAGTGTCCATCCATAACCACACCTGCACAGTGTATTCATACACTCACACGTATCACTTAGCATGTGTACATTCCTGTATTAGTGTGCTAGCACGTCTGCCCAGCGTGTGCTCACATGTTCCTGATAGCCCTCACACATTGGTGGCATGGCCTGCAGACAGATCTCTGTGACTCAGGACTCTAGGATGCAGGCATCTCCTCCCCCATGTCACTTCTGGTCTCTGAAGCCAGTGGCCTGGACTTGGCCTTGAAGGTGGTTCCCTGGGGAGGGCTGACACCTAAGCTCTGGGCTGACGTCATGTCCTTCCGTGGTGCCCTGTGCTGGCTTTCCAGTGAGCCATCCATGACAGGATCTGTGGCGGGTGGCGTTCTGGGAAAAGCAAATTACTTTAGTGCAGCTTCCCCAGTTAAAGAGTGGAGAGCCACTAACCAACCTGTTCTTAAGGTGCAAAAACGAGTCCCCATTCCCCAGTCATAACAGCAACTCTGTTTTGAGGAGCTCAGATTCTCCAAGGCCCTGTGGGCACAGTTTGGAAGTATCAAGTTTCTTTTTTTTTTTTTAATTTTATTGTTTTTATTTTATGTGTGAGTGTATTGCCTGCATGTGTGTAAGTGCACCCATGCCATGCACTGCCTATGGAGGACAGAGAGGGTGTCAGGGCCCCTGGAACTGGAGTGGGTGCTGGGAATCGAACCTGGGTCCTCTGCAAGAGCAGCCAGTGCTCTGAACCACTGAGCACCTCTCCAGCCCCAGGGTATATATTTTCTATTGATAGTATGAAAAATAAAAAATATACCAAGGGATCCCATGTTGACCACAGCATGTCTGGAAAATACTAAAGGGGTTCCAGGAGGCCTAAACGTGGAGGGCTCCACATGTGACGCGGCTGTTGTCAGCCTTTTCTTGTGATGTTCTTGGGCACAGCCTGTGTTTTGGTGTCGGGCTCCCGTGGTTAGTCATTGTTTGACCTGATGGAGAAGACTGACACAGATCCAACCTGCCAGGCACACCTAGGGGCGACCCTGTGACAGTCTAGGGTGCGGCTGACCTCTTTCAGGGCCAGATGAACAAAATGAGAGACAGAATCAAGCACAAGAGAGGGGTGCCCTTGAGTGATGCAGTAAGCAGAGCATTAGGGGCTGCTGGTGGATTGCGTTTGTATGTGTGTGTACGTGGGTGTGTGGGTGTGTGCGTGTATATGTGGTTGCACATGTATGCATGTGTATTTGGAGACCAGAGGTCAACACCAGGTGCCTTCCGCAATCACTTTCCACCTTATTTTTCGAGGCAGGGTCTCCCGCTGAACCCTGAGCTCATTGATTCACCTAGACTGGCCAGCTAATGTATTCCAGAGAGCAAGGTGGACTGTTTTATAGAAAACATTAATTTTTTAGACACTGTGGACCAGGCTGGCCTTGAACTCATGATCATTCTGCTGCAGACTCCGGAGTGCTGGAATTTCAAGGTGTGCACCACATCTGGCATTATTTATTTTTGTGGTGCTGGGGATGGAAACCCCAGGGCCTTGTGTACGAGAGGCCATGCCGTTCCACTGAGCCAGCCTCCCAGCCCCAGAACCTTCCCTCAACAGTCATGGTAGAGTCTGGCACAGTATACGGGGGGCGGTGTTTATCATTCTGAAGCGGGTGTCCTGAGCTGAGCTCGGTGTGCTGCCTTCCCCAGGGCTATGTGGACTGTCAACAAGTAGGTTTGTCCACAGGGAGCATCATCATGAGCTGAGGAGGACGTGTGTGACACCATCACCAGGCAGTGAGAAGGCTTTAGAAATTGTAATTTCATGAAACTTTGTCAATGGGTCTGCTGTCAAGAAGGGCATCTTTATTTAAAGAAAGATTTTATTATTTTTTACGTGTGTGAATGTTTTGCCTGCATGTATGTAAGTGCATCTGTGTTGTGAAATGCCTGTGGAGGTCAGAAAGGAGTGTTGGATCCCCTGGAACTGGAGTTATAGATGGTTGTTAGCCACCATGTGAGTGCTGGAAATCGAACCTGGGTCCTCTGCAAGAGCAGCCAGTGCTCTTAACTGCTGAGCCATCTTTCTAGTCCAACATCTTTTAAAAAATTTATTTATTTCATATTTTATTTATTATTTTAAATCTATTTTCTGTGTATGAGTGTATTGCCTGCATGTAGGTAGGTGCACCCATATTGTGCAATGTCCATGGAGGTCAGAAGAGAGTATCAGATCCCCTGGAACTGGAGTTACAGCCAGCTTTTAGCCACCATGTGAGTGCTGAGAACTGAACCCAGGTCCTCTGCAAGAGCAGCCAGTGCTCTAACCGCTGAGCTCCCCAGCCCTGATCGAGACAGCTTTAAATGGCACTTGGCTTCTGCGACTGACGGAAATAAGCCTGGGTTTTGTGCTCAGTTATTCCATCAGGTTTCTTCTTCACAGGCCCTTCCCTTAAAAAAAGGCTACAAACCCCAGATGACCGCTCTGAAAGATACTCAGAAACCATGCAGTGAGGTGGCACCCCCCCCCCGACAGCATCAGCAGCACCTTCTTCCTCTTGGCTGGGTGGGGCCAGCACCACACAGTCCCACAATCTTCAGCACCTGGGGCTCTGGCTGGTGCCGCATCCTGCCCTCATATCCCCTCTTGCCCCTAGAATGCACCCTGGGCTCACACGGCTGGCACGGGTGCTGGCAGATCTGTGGAGAGGAACATCTCCTCTTCAAGTGGCAGCGGCTCCAGGCCCTTCATCAGGATGAGCTGCTGACCCCTCAGGAGGATGAGCTACAGGCTGACCACCCGGACCCGGTCCTCCCCATCAGCTTCAACCTCCTGAGCCTGCTTAATGCCATCCTGAGGGTCATCATGGCCATTCGGTGAGCGAGTGGGGAGTGGGACATCAGTGGACCTGGGTCTGTAGCTCACTTTGGGCGTTTTGACCTTGAAGCACAGCATAGTAATGCCCACCCCAAATCCTGGAACCTCAAGTCCCTGCCATGTACCCCCTATTGTCTACATCCTAATGAGAAAGACCCTTGAGCCTGTGAATCCCATGGTGGATGGTGGGACTTGTCAGGCTCTTGTAGGAGGTACCCACTGGCATCATAGCCTGGCTCTGGGGCAGAGGTGCTGGCCCAGTCAGCTGGTGGGAAGGGTGAGCAACCTTGTCCAGCTGGGATGGAGGGAGCCCCATGAGCCCCCCCCCCACTGGCTTATCTCAGCAGAAGCCACGGCTGCCCCCGGGCCGGGCAGACTGTCACAGGGCCAGGAGGCCAGCCCAGAGCCCTCCCAGGAGCAGATGTGACATCACGCTCATCCCCTGTGGCCCTGCACAGACCTCATTTCACCCGTCCCCTCGCAGCTCTGCAGAGCTGGAGGTTTCTTTCCCGAGGGAGACAGTAGGTGCTGAGGGGCAAAGGCCCACTGGGTTCCATGGCTGGGAAGGGAAACCAACACTGGTCCACGTCTCCAACCCCTGAGTGCAGAGGGAACCCAGTGGATGAGCAGACATCTGCACCATCCACGCTGTGGAGGCTCCCAGCAAACCCACTGCAAGGCCAGCGAGCGCCCGGCCCGGGGACGGCCCAGCACCTGCCTTTCTCTTCCCTTTCTAGCCAGCTGTTCTGGGGCTGAGGTGGAACCCTCAGTCCCTGGCAAGGACCTCAGCGAAGATGTCCATTACAATCATGGTCTTCGATGAGAGCCCCCAGGTCAGAAGGCTCTGTGACACCCACTGTTTCCATACATAAGACCCCACCCAAGATCCAATCTGAACGAGGAGCCATATCATGATTTTAGTTGCAGCAGGGCTGGTGACTGTCAGCCGATTCTGTTATGGATTCAGCCAATAAATGTTATTTGTGAAACTCTAACCCAGCCAGTTTCTAAGGATGATGTGGGGTTCTCCTTTAGTGAGGAGTCACGGGGGGGGGGGATTCCTGCCACTCTCCTTCCGTTGGGCACGAGGCCTGAAGCAGTCTTGGTGCACGCTTCCGGGGATCAATCTTTTAGTGCTGAAGAGTAGCTAGCATCTAAAATTGTATATGAATTGACGTTTTTGTATTTATGTTTTTAAAAAATTAAAAAAAAATTTATTCATGTGTATTGCCTGTGTGTATACTGCCTGTGTGTGTATGCCTGTGTGTGTATGCCTGTGTGTATATGCCTGTGTGTATACTGCCTGTGTGTGTATGCCTGTGTGTGTATGCCTGTGTGTGTATGCCTGTGTGTATATTGCCTGTGTGTATACTGTTGCCTGTGCGTGTATGCCTGTGTGTGTATGCCTGTGTGTGTATGCCTGTGTGTATATTGCCTGTGTGTGTATGCCTGTGTGTATGCCTGTGTGTGTATGCCTGTGTGTGTATGCCTGTGTGCACAGGTGACTGCAGAGACCAGAAGAGGGTGTCAGATCCCCTGGAGCTGGAATTACGGTCAGTTGTGAGATGTTCAAAGTGGGTGGTGGGAACTGAACTCTGGTCCTCTGGAAGAGCAAGTGCTTTAAACTACTGAGCCATCTTTCCAGCCTCTTATTTATTTTGCCTGCATGTATGTGAGCACACACATGCCATTCAGTACCTCAGGAGGTCAGAAGAGGATGCTGGATCCCTTGGAATTGAAGTTATGGAAGGTTGTTAGCTGCCCTGTGGGTGCTGGGAACCAAACCCAAGTCCTCTGCAAGAGCAGCCAGTGCTCTGAACCACTGAGCATCTCTCCAGCCCTCTGGGGTCTCTTTATATGATGAAAATGTCCTAGAATTACAGTGGTGACCACTGCACCGCACTGTAAACATTAAAACCACTAGGTCGTATGCTTTAGGGTGGTGGCTTACAACATGCAAATTCAAAAATTTGAGCCGCTAACAACCATCCATAACCCCAGCTCCAGGGGATCTGACACCTCTGTCCTCCATGGGTATTGCACACATGTGCACATACCCACACAGACACATAGACACATAATTTAAAAAGCCCCAAACCCATTAAGTGGTTGTCCCTTCTGTCTGCTTCCATGAATACATGACCTGCTTCCCGTCTCTGGCTTTTTCACGTAGCAAAATGCTTCCACAGACCATCCACACTGTAGGTTGTATCATAGCATCAGTCCTTTTCGTGGCTAAGTAATATCCCATGGCGTGGACGTGCCCCATTTGACTTATGTACATTGGAAGTAGAAATCCTGCTGGGGAACAGTCTTGGCTGAATGGTGGTTGTAGCTTTACTCCAGGTATCTCAGAGTATTTGGCCCTGTCAAACTAAAGCTGTCTTGATGTGATCCTGGGTTCAAGACTCAGGCTGTGCCATAATCCTGGTTAATGCAGTGATGATGTCACAGGTTGGCCCATAGGCTGAGGACTGTAGGTGTCCTCTGCTGCAGGCACTCTCCTGCAGGCATTAGGTGCCACAAGAGGGCACTGTGAAAGTCTTTGTGGGGTGGGTGTGACGGGAGGAGGTTTGAGGAAGGAGGCTCATGAATGCCTGGGACTCAAGTCCTGGAAACCAAAGCAACACCTCCCTCCCCACCCACCCTTGTGCCTCCCACCAACCCTCCCATGCACCTGCTAACACACCCTGGGGCCTCTATCCTCAGGGCCCTGCCAGCAGCCTGGCATCTGCATTGTGACGGTTATTGAGATGTACAAACAACCATGACATCGCTGGGCATTTGTGCACTGGCAGCTGGCAGCCTGCCCTGCCTCCTGTGACGTGTTATCTGTCCCTGGTCCCTTTAGGACAGCAGCCCCTTCCAGGTGCTTCTCTTTGGAAACGAGGCCCTTCTTGATGAAGATGGGGAGTCGAACAGATGCTGTCCAGGGGCCTGCTAGTCCTGGGGACACCTAAAAGGGGAGCATGGGAGGAGGTGGGGGAGAGGGGGTGTTCCAGGGAGAGGAAAGACCAGAACCGAACTTCTCGGGGAGCAGGGATCTGTGGAGCTGATGGTGTGAGCTGGGCTCCTAGAACGGGAGGATCGTGTGTGTGTGTGTGTGTGTGTGTGTGTGTGTGTGTGTACGCACCTATGTGCATGTGCACGTGGAGGCCAGAGGTTGACATTCCTCCATCACTCCACCTTATTTAGTTAATTTTTTAAATTTGTTTTATGTGCATGAGTGTTTTGCCTACATGTATGTAAGTGCACTGCACCATGCATGTGCAAACCTGTGGAGGCCAGAAAAAGGCACTGGATTCCCTGGGACTGGAGTTACAGACGATTGTTAGATGCCTTGTGATTGCTGGGAACCAAACCCAGGTCCTCTGGAAGTAGTCAGTGCTTTTAACCACTGAGCCATCTCTCCAGCCCCTTAATTGCCAATATTGCTATTATTATTGTTTTTTTGAGACAAGGTCTTGCTGTAGCCCCAGCTGGCCTGGAACTCCCTATGTAGATAAGGGTAGCTATGGTCCTACATGAGATTCACCTGTCTCTGCCTCTTGGGTGCTGGGATTAAAGGTGTGTATCACCAAACCCAGAAGTAATTTTTTTTTGAGACAGGTCTTTCTTTTTTTAACACTTTTTTTTATTATTTTTATTTTATGTGTATTGAGTGTATCACCTGCATGTATGTGAGTGTACCCGTGTCGTGCTGTGCCATGGAGGTCAGAAGAGGGCTTCAGATTTCCCTGGAACTGGAATTAAGGACGGTTCGTAGCTGCCACGTGGGTGCTGGGAATCGAACCCGGGTCCATGGAAGAGCAGTCAGTGTTCTTAACTGCTAAGCCATCTCTCCAGCCCTGAGACAGGGCAGACCAGGCTGGTCTCAAACTCACAGAGATCCACCTGCTTCTGCTTCCTGAGTGCTGGGATTAAAGGTGTGTGCCACCACGCCTGGCTATTCATGGCTCATTGAACCTGGAGCTCACTGATTTAGCTAAACTGGCTGTCAGTGATCCCTTGGGATCTGCCCTCCAGTGCTGGGTTTACAAATGAGCAGTGCTGCACCTGACTTTTTACACAGGTACTGAGGATCTGAACTCAGATCCTCATGCAAGTACCCCTGAGCCATCTCCCCAGCCCCCTCTGAGGACCTTGCAAGAAGATCCTACCACCCTCTCCCCTTGAGGTCTCCTTCCCAGATGGGAGACCGTTCTGTTCTGACTTTTCAACCCTGGGTCCCAACGTTCCACACTCTGCCAGATCTGTGGACCCCACAGAGCTGACCAACTGGTACTGTGGGTGTCAGGGGACCTGCCTTTCTGCCCGGCGGGTGGCCAGATGCCCCCCCCCATCTGGCTGGCGCTCCACTCTGCAACTGGGCTACTTCTGCCCTCAAACAGCAGAGCACTAAGGTCAGCGGCTGCTTTTGTGCTCGTAGGCAACAAAGGGCTCCAGTCCAGAGCTGGGAGTGATGCCATCTGCAGACAGAGGAGCCGTCAAGTACTGCTGAGTCTGAGGCCCTTGGGCTCGTGCAAACTCCAGATGCCACGCAAAAAGCACAGATGGCTGCACAAATAGACAGCATCTAGTTCCCAATGTGAGGAGCACAGAGCCACCACTCTAAGCATTAGCAACACAGCACCAGGCTCCTCACAGAGGAGGTGCCAGCTTTTTACAGAACTCAACAGGTTGCCCACGCCTTCTCTTGAAGCTTGTGGGACAGTCACCTCCCCAGGGGTTTCAGAGTCACCACACACTCAGCTTTTGGGGCGGGGCCGGGAGGCGTGGATCACCCTGCTAGCCACACTTCCTCTGAGACACCCTTATTTACAGTTCTGAACTGTAACTTATGTTCATGCACATGAATCTTCCAGGAGGTTCTGAGCCCCAGCCCTTGGCTGCTCCTGGTGAGAAGGCAGGGAAATTCAGTGTCCTCTTGGGCAGCAACACCCACCGCTCAGCACTGGGCTTCATCGCCGGGGCTGGACAGCCAAGGACGGGCTGTCGGATGCTGATTATTGGCCACCTCCCCTGCTGGCTTCTCAGGTCAATATTGGCAGAAGCCATTTCATGTCTCCATTAAGAATGGGGCAACATGCCGCCATGGTGGCACACGCCTTTAATCCCAGCACTCAGGAGGCAGAGGCAGGTGGATCTCTGTGAGTTCAAGGCCAGCCTAGTCTACATGGTGAGTTCCAGGCCAGCTGGAGCTACAGGGAGACCCTGTCTTAAAAAAAACAAAAAACAAAAA